TCTCCTTGTGTATGAAAATATTCGGACGATCTAAATTGGCAACTATTACTCGAGGATTTTGTAAGAGGAGAGAGCTTGTTAACGCTTCTTGTAAATGTTTAGGTGCTGTTGCAGTTAGAACTAGAAATGGTGATTCAGGGAAAAGCGATCCTAATTGCGATAGTTTAGCGAAATCTTTACGAAATTCTACTCCCCATTCTTGAACAAGGTGGCCTTCATCAATTACACATGCAAATACGTTACGCTGTAAAACGCTTGACATCAGAAGCCGTCTGCCTTTTTTACAAGAAATAAATGCTTCTGGATGAGCGTAAATGATTTTCGATTTTCCTTCTTTAATATCCTTCTCGGTGCTAGTGTCAAGCGTTAAATCTGTTAATAAGGTATGCTCTTCACAATCGCTATCTGAAGCAGTTTCATTTGCATATTCTTCACTGTCATTTTCATTCGTCGTATAGTTCATGCTAACAGTTTTCAATACAGTTGCTTCAATTCCATGTTTTTTCAGATTAGAAATCTGGTCGTCAATTATGGCGTTTAGTGGTGCTATAATCAGAACAATGTTACCATATTTTGTATGTCCTTGTTTAACGTTGGTTTTACAAAGATAATCAGCCGCGAACGGAATTAGATGGAATATAACCGATTTCCCATAACCAGTTGGCAGTATTCCGATTGTGTCTCTCTTCCGTAATATCGACTCTAAAATTTGATATTGTTTAACTCTCAGAAACAGATTGTCATAATTTGTTACACGTAAAGCATAGTTTACAGCATTAAAGAACTGATTCAATGAACACATATTGTTAAAACTCCGTCCAGAACTAGTTATAGAATTAATATAGGCCCATGCACATGAATTTTTTTTCGGTGATTCACTTACTAAAAATATGGACACTACGTATACGGGGCATGCATGATATTTTTAAAAAACACGTGCATGGCTGGATCCAGTAAGTTCTTTATTGGTATTTTTTATTTACTATTATTTTATTTTTCATTCACTCTATAGATCTACATTCTGTCAAGCACATTTATTTTGAGATCATATTCTGTGTTTGGATTGTATATTGCATGATATTTTTAAGATATATTCGCAATATTATTAGATTTCAATGTATGTTTTTCAATGACAATCTTTCAACACTACGTCATCGTATAGTTTTAAAATAATTGTGCATAGTATATTTATGGAACATATACTATTAATATTATTGAATACGATTTTGTGTTACATCAGAGTTATTTTTATTTTTCATACGCTTATTACTCACTTATAGGACTAGGCGCGGTCAGTTCTATTTTAGAGCACAGGTATTCATCGGGACAGCTATATAGTGATTTTCTTATAGATTATTAGTGAACATGTCGACGCAACTAACTCCTCTTAAGGAGTATTATAAATGGAAGAATGGAAATTTTTGTTGTGTTTGCGGCGATGATAAATCTGGTAGCAGATTTACCAAGATTTTCAGCACTGCTGGAAAAGAAAAGGGATTGTCGGAACAAATTTATTCTTTAACATCTATTTATCTCGGAGAATCCGACGGCAATGCCCAATCTCTCAAAATTTGTCGATCTTGCGAAGGGAAGCTCATTAAGTCACATGAATTTAAAAGTTGCGCCGTAGCCACACTAGAAAGCAATCGAGAAAAGACATCTTCCAAGAGATGTCTCAACTTTTCGCCAGTTAAATCCGATCCTCCGACAGGCAAGAGAGTGAACGTAGAGGCAGAACTGACGACAACTAATACGGAGTCTATTGATGATGTTGAGGTAAAGAGTAAGAAAGATTAATCTTATGAAAAGAAACTTTTAAAATTATATTTTCAAACCTTTGACAGAAATATAGCGCAGTGTCACATGTACAGAATAGACTATATGGAAGCCCGACGTCTTGGTTTTTCCTATGATAGTTTCCAATGATTTTGGCGTAACCGTAATTCTTCATAAAAATGCTGACGCCATGTGCCTAGTCAGTGCGCGTTTGAAAGGCATTTACCCATGGCCGCTGAGAGGGGCAGGGGGACAAATTGCCCTGGGTCCCCACCTTAATAGGGCCCCAACTTAGAGAAATTGCCCAAAATTGAGTAGGTTCTTTAAATTGGTCAGACCATTTTTGAAATAGATCAGAGGGCCCCTTACAGTAGCCCCGCATGAAGTATAGGTAAGGTCTAGTTGGGTGACTGACTTGTATATACCTTTAAAAATAATGATGTCATGGGACCAGCAGAAAAGATTTTTCCCTGGCCCCACAAATTTTCTAGGCGGCCCTGCATAATTCACCCCCGGCCAGTGAAAATATTCAAAATGACGGACGTCCAGGGGGGGATAGTAATAGCGAGCTTAATTGAGCAAGGCGACGTTTTGTCAACACGAACGTTAGATGCGGAGAGGGGACTGGATTAAAAACTGCGTTTGTGTCAGTTTGTGGCAATCTTCAACACATATGTCATGCCAAAACATAAGATTTTTAAAGTTTTTTGCTTCCTTAGATGAGCGTTTGCAAAATGCCGTCAAAATTAGTCATACAAGTTTTCGGGTGACGTCCGTGTTAACAAAAACGTCGCTTGCTTAAGCCCGTTCTCCACTAGGCGATTTTTTCTTCGCGCGATTGAAGCGAAAAACAAATCTTGGCAATGTGATTGGTCAGCGAAAAAGTTTGATCAGTTCCTATTTTTTACTGTTCGCGCGAACAAATTCGGCTGGTTGAGAACGGGCTTTAAGATCGCCTCTCATAAGCGCACTGGCTATGCCCATGGCGTCAGCATTTATGATGATGAATCATGGCGTGGTAGCGATTAATATAGTCACAGAGTAGAGACATACAGAGACGTAACTAGGGTACCCACTTTTTTTGTGCGCATGCTCGGCAAGTTCCTAGATACATGCATCTGATTGGATGACGACCTGATGACGACTCACTTTAAACTTGCTGAGCACGCGCAGTTGATCAATTTTCACCCGATCGCCTGAAAAAAAGTGGGTATATGATAACGTAATCTTCCGCAGTGTTTACAACGGTCAGTTACGTCTCTGTATGTCTTATTTACTCTGTGATATAGTCGACCTTCTGTATGTATTTATTATGTGACAGTGCGTCATGTTGCTTTACTTTTGACGTAATTATATGAATATATATATCGTAAATCTATTTAAAATTCTATGTGCATGGTGGACGTTACTTTAATGTATAACTTTTTTATTTTTTGTACATCTTTTGCGAACCAATTGGAAATAGAAAAAGTATAATTTAAAAAAATGGAGTTAAAGGCCCACAAATATATAATATGTTGTTGGCAAAATACTGATACCCTATTCCAGTTGTGACGTCATGCAATTACATCAGAATCAAATTGGCAGACTGTTTGGTTGAAATTTGTCGAAAACTATTAACGACTCGTAGACGGTTTACAGGATTTTATAATTTTTCGACGTTCTTTCGAATGAGCTAAAAGAACTTGATTTATTTTATCATATCCCTTTAATTTCATGCATAAACGTCAGTTATATCCTTATATCCAGGGCGACAGACAGAGATTCAACGAAGCCCTCAAAGACTTTCCGGCAAGATAGTCAACCTTTTTAAACCCAATGGCATTGTACGACGATGTGAAGAAACACTTTGAAAACAGCAACGACAGCGTTATATTTTATTCAGTCTAATAAGTCCCAAGAATGAAAACGGGGAATAACATTATAGGTGCCAATGAAAACTGGATAAATGAAAAATCCTGCCATGTTTTACATTAAAAGCTTTTTCAAACTATAGGGAAAGAACACAATGTATCTTAATTTATCGTATATCGACAATTTTAGCTGAGTCGAAAATCAACGAGTTCATCGAAAATCGACCTACAATCCTATACGACAAACAAATCAAATATAAGAGACCGTGTAAGAGACCTTGTGTTTATTTTACCAAATATTATATTCATACTTATTAAAGTGCGACTAACCCCAAATATAATTTCTGGTTTTCGTGTAACAGTTGGGTCATTGTAATAAGAAATGTAATATCTTTTTATATAATAAGAGTAAAAATTCAAGCGCTTTCATTGGTCGAGAGCCATGATTTATTAGATGATAGACGCACGAAATTACGTCACAATTAATGCCTGTTTTATACGTCGAATTTCGGTCGCGTCGAATAAGATAATAGATAAAGAAGCTTAATGAGGTTTATCATCTCATTATTTATTGTCTTAATTGAGTTCGACGCGACCAAAATGCGACGTATAAAACAGGCCTAAGATAGCCAAAGCATTCCCTTATATTTTTATAGATCATGGCACGCCATACATATTACACATACCAAATATCATATTTGTGGTAGGCCTATAGTCGCACTTTAAATCCGACGCGGAACTGCACGTCTATGCATGAGCATATATGTTTGCAAACTATTTTACCACAATCTCAGTAATGTTTCATAAAATTATATTAACCTATAGGAATTGACTACATCTGTTAAAAATTCATTGACAACGCAAGACCAGACCAAGCTTCACAACGCGATAAAAACTGGCGTACCATCAATTATTACACATGCAATTGAATCCGTTCCTTCTTTGATACGTAACCTCAAGGAAAGTATTCTACACGAACTTGACAATGAGTGTAAAAACATTTGTTTGAGGGGCAAACCATCTGAATTGCGCAAAAACAAATTTTGTAATATGGCTGGATTTGAGTGGCAAAAATTGTCATCAGAAATGTCGATACGGTGTCCGTAAGTCCGTTTTTGCTTGACGTTCTCCTTACAGTCATGGACAAGTCAAAAGAAGAATGTATTGAGATTATCCCACGACTTGGTCTTTGTTATGCCATTTTAATGCAGACAAGAAATAAGGATCTCAGTTTGGTCCAACGACTGAATACAGTATTGCTGACGAATGGAAATGCAAAGAAAGAAGTATGTTCAATAACTGATAACGTCACACGTGTATATATATTGTAGTGCACGCTTTTTAACTATAAATATTCAAGCATACTTATAGTAATTGTCTCCAAAAAGGTTTTTGTTAAGCCTAGTTCTCATTCATCTCAAACTGTCACCGACGATCGGCGACGCTTATCGCCGATACTCGCCGAGCGCGAATGCACGAAAGTTCTCATACATCGGTGATCGTCGCAGATGACAGCCGATGTGTTTCGAAATTTCCCAAATTTCCTACAAAATGGC